AAGATCAAGACCAACTTCTACCCATCACGTTCGTCCTACGGTCAATGTCGGGTGTACATCAACGGTGAAAGCAAGCTAGTCCCGACCAGCTGGTTCGAACTGGATGTGGAACAAGATGTTTTCATCTACCCCGGGGCAGTCTCCCTCGACATTGACGAGCAAGCGTTGAAGGTACGTCTTGCTGTTGCTCCAATCGTCTGCATCAACGTGGACCCTAGATGTTTTCATCGTTCTCTGGACGCACACATGACACTTTCTACCACGGAACTGAAACAGCTAACTGAGAGCTTCATATCATTATGCAGTGTCGCCGTCCAACATGACGATCAGCTGGTAGAGACCTTCCAATAAGTCTTTAATGAACTGCATTCTTTATCAGACAGTTGATCATTCATTCTTATCCTATCCTATTTGACTGTATACTACTTCCTGCTGCAATATATCATTATAGTCAAAACTTCTAGAAAACAAGTATGGGTGGTGTTGTGTCGAGTAATACATCCACGGAAGAGTGCTGCCTTGCCTCTTCTGATTCTAGCATCCCCACTGATACTAGTAGGGTATGGGTTGCAGGATGTGAAAAGAATGGAGTTGGAAAAGATGAGCCAGGGTGATTTCATGTGCGCACCATCAAGGAATGCGTCAATCATGACAAGGTTCCATCGTGAATGTGAAGACTTCGAGACTCGTCATGCCTTTGACATGGACCATTTATTCGTTCCAGATTCACCGTTGTTTCACGAGTCTGCTAAAAAAAGTTGCTATCTGCTAAAAAAGTTGCAATGAAAAAAATAAAAAACAAAAAAATAAAAAATAAAAAAATAAAATGAAAAAATCCAAGCGCGTTTTGTACGGTCATACCTCAAAAAGAAGAAGATTAAGTTCCAGTATGAAGCTACCAAGTCCGATTTGAACAAGGTGGCGGGGCTCGAGTCTCTCAAGTGCCGGTGGCAATTCATGTTATTATTATTTTATTTATTTTACTAGGGTGTTTCCCACAGACCATGTGTTTGGTTACGCTGCACAAGCAGCGCATTACTTTATCCCTTCCACTAATTGTTATCGGCCAATCAGCATACTCTCACCACCTCACATCCAATCAGCATACCCCGCGTCACACTAACGTTACACAAACTTGTCTCATATATGCGAAAAAATGGTACTGGATCATAGCAACATCCTCCTGGATAATGAACATAATAACGATTAAAACACAACAACCGACAACAACCGACAACAACCAACAACAACCAAAAACAGCCAACAACAGCCAACAACAACCAACAACAACCGACAACAACCGACAACAACCGACAACAACCGACAACAACATCCAACAACCAACAACAACTGACAACAACCAACTACAACCAACAACAACAACAACAAACGACAACAACCAACAACCGACAACAACAACCAACAACAACCAACAACAACCAACAACAACCAACAACAGCCAACAACAACCAACAACAACCAACAAGAACCGACAACAACCGACAACAACATCCAACAACCAACAACAACTGACAACAACCAACTACAACCAACAACAACACACAACAACAACCAACAACCGACAACAACAAACAACAACAACAACAACAACAACCAACAACAGCCAACAACAACCAACAACAACCAACAACAACGGACAACAACCGACAACAACCAACAACAACCAACACCAACCAACACCACGACCGGTCGTCCACGTCTACACCGAATGTATCAGCCATATCTATTTACTGAGAATAATGTAACAACTCCTCCACAAAACGCTTCTACAACTGACGTCTTCTTCATCCCCAGATAGGCGTTAGCCTTTGGGTAATCCTGAAATAAAGATTATTATTATTATCCTGGGTTTTTTTCCTCTTGGTGGTTTTGGATAAGAGTTGAAAAGCCCAAAAGGTCAACTGATGACCTTTGCATTACTTGGTATGATTGGATTTTAGCGGGTGATGTCGGTATGCAGCTGGGGAGCGAATTCGACAGGAAGAAGGTAAAGGCCTTGCTTTGCGGTTCACACCTTCACTTCAGTATCATTACATTTACAGTATGGCGTTCACTTGCCACTGCGGTGTGGAGCTGACAGGAGTTATACCCTTGTTTCAGCACCTGAGGCGGTGCGTCAAGCGCCGCCTCTTTCTTATAATATATTGTGACAAATGGTAAGTGTGCAGTGCTCCTAGCTCTCTCCCCCAACAAAAGAGCTCTATGACACTGTGCTTTCTGCGGTTTCTTTCGTTTTTACAGTGGAGAAAGGCTGGTGGGAGGCCAGGCCGTGGCCGCACACCTGGCGGGTGCGGCCCATCGAGCCCGTTACTGGGAGGGCCGGCAAGTCGGGCTGCTGTTGCAGTCCGACTACCGGGACGCCATGGAGCGTATCCGGACCCTGTAAGTAAGCACTGCTCTGTCTACATGTATACTTATCCCCCTCGTTATAGCGATACTTACTTGTTTCGTATCCTCTTGTCTTACCCTGCTTCCGTATTCGTGACACTAATAGTGTTTGTGTGCGCTCATGCTTGGTTATACAGATGATGATGATGTATGTATGAAGGTCTGGAGCTAGCTGCCGTCTTCGGGATGTGCCATTTGTTTTCAAAATTATTTGTAAGTACTTGGAACAGGCGTAGTGTAGTAACTGTGTATGCAGTGTAGTAACAGTGTGTAGTGTTTTGTGATGGTCCTGAGCGGTCGTAATGTGTTTTGTGATGGTCCTGAGCAGTCGTAATGTGTTGGGCTACTGAAGTACACTGCATGAAGGGGTATGCGTGGGTGCTTCGACATATTCTCGTGCTTCCTAAACCCTAGATACGTGTATAGCACTATAACCTAGATGTGTGTGTGTGTGTGTGTGTGTGTGTGTGTGTGTGTGCCCGCGCATGCGTGCGTGTGCGTGCATTGTGTTCTCTTCTACAGACTCATCCAAGTCCATTTAAATAAAAGTGCATTATAGTAAACAGTATTGTGTTTTGTTACAGTGAATATGTGGGGAATGGTGGATATGCCTTAGTGTGACTGGATACCCGCGGGTTGTGACTCTTTGCTGGTCACTCTGGATTCTCCAGTATAGATTCGATGCAGTGCAGAGGGGATTTGTGGTGCGTAGCAACACTGCTTCACTGTGACACCCCTTCAATAATTGTTTTAATGCATGATACTCCGGGCGTAGCCGGTTGATTCTAACTGTATCCTGATCAAAATAGAAATTTGCATCTAATGGACCTGCATGGACAGTAGGCATTTCCCTAATCGGCCGGGCGAAAAATTCGCCGAAAAACAGTGGTTTTGAAGAAATTACCCATCTTTTCGCCGAATTTTCAAAAATTCGCATGTTGAATTCCCCGAAAACCGATGCTTCAGTGCTTCAACAGGGTGTATGTAAATGTACTTGACGTAATGGGAGCGGTGACTTCAAGTACTATGTTGAGCCGAATTCTGATCTTGGAGCTCATAATATGGCCGAATTTGAACATTCTCGATCGAAAAGCCGATTAGGTATGCTCTGTATGGGCAACTTGTCAATCAGTGCACATCTACGATGTGCAAATAAAACGAATGCACGGAACGTGAACTTGTTTGCTGCACATCTACGAAGTGCGAATCATGGAGTAGTATAATGACACGTGTACTAGTCCACCTTGTGTTGCACTGCGTCTTTTCCGCAGGGCCACTGAAGGTCACACGCTCCGCGTGCGTATGCGCGCATGCGCAATATGTCACTGCACATCTACGATGTGCAAATCAGGGAGTAGTACGTATTTTACTACTCCCCAGTGCGAATGCACCGAACGTGCACAAGTGCACGTTCGCCACGGAAAAGAACATGATGACATTTATGGCATGACAGGGTCAAAGGTCAAACCCTGGGGGAGTCCCGGGGCCAGACCAAACGCGCCCGATACAGTGTGCCTTATTTAACCCAAAGGTCAAAGGTCAAACCCTGGGGGAGTCCCGGGGCCAGACCCAGCACGACCGACACAGTGTGCCTTATTTGGCCCAAAGGTCAAAGGTCAAAAAGTGTGCCAGAACCTGCCCCGCACTTACTACTCCGGTACATGCAACTGGTTGCTCGTAGATCTAATTGTATGTGGATCACACGCTTCCTGCCGAACTAACTAAGTAATAGTTACTTGACCGTGTGACGAACTTGACACATGACTGACTCACGACTGCCATCCCGAGCAGGCGAGCACATGACGAGCCCTTTGCACCTTCCAGACTTCCAGTTCCACTCGGCGGCGGCAAACCTGCAAGAAAGCATCCCTCCCTGGCCCGGTCCTGCTCACAGTGTTTGGGGTAATTCACCCCTTCTCCTTTTCGGCTTCGTATGCCCAAAAGATGTACGGTGGTTTCTTACGGGTTCAACCCGCTTCACCCCTACAGTACCTCGGGGGGATCGGCTCTAGCTATGGTATCTGTTTTGGCCTTCTGTTTCCTTTTTCTTTCCCTTTTCATCTGGGCTTTCTGCAAGACATCCGCGGCTCTACCTCCTCGCCGGAGGAGTTGTAGTTTTTTTTCTTTGGGCTAGGATTTCAGAAAAAGGTTTTCAATTCCAGAAAGCTAGCAAAACTGATGTAAACGCCCAAAGAAAAAAAACTACAACTCCTCCGGCGAGGAGGTAGAGCCGCGGATGTCTTGCAGAAAGCCCAGATGAAAAGGGAAAGAAAAAGGAAACAGAAGGCCAAAACAGATACCATAGCTAGAGCCGATCCCCGCGGTGATTATCTGATTCAAGTGGCAGATTCGTGGCGATCGTTGGTCCAGCCCCATGCCATGGCCTAGGCGCTGGCCCTAGCAGTAGCAGTCTGGTATAAAACCATCATTCATTGCTTGGGTCGGGGTAGATCTACCGGGTGGCGCTTGATCGAGCCGAGTCCAGCTGCAACACTCGGACTCGGAGTCACAGCTTGCTTGTACTGTTGTAGTTGTAGTCCGCACTTATTATTATCTGAATACTACATGTACTAGACTAGAGTCCAAAGGCAGAGTCCACGTGTCTGTGTGCGAGCGCACGTGAGTTCACGGAACAGTACAGGTGCTGTTACTTACTACACTGTAGTCTGTAGTGCAGCACTGAGTTATGTGCACGGACAGTCGAGTGACCTGGTGACAGAGAACGCAAAGTAAGAAAAGAAGTCGTTCATTTCCCCTCCACTGGCACTATCCGGTCCCTGGCCTCAGCAAGCACGGATCGCGAACTACGTGAGCAGTTGAGCGTCTAGTCTCTCTACTCTATAGTCTATCTGCCCACCGACCAGCTAGAGTAGGAACAGTGCGAAATCTACAGAGACTACAGAGAATCTACTATAGAGAGAGTCCGGATTGCAGGCTTGCCTTCCGTGTGACAGTAGCTAGTTGTGAGCAAGCAACGACGTGCACTCGCTGTGCGCAGCAGTGCTGCACGTGTTGGGTTCTCACGCACAGCTCACAGGCGAGAGAGTAAAATGTTCACGTCCTCCACTAGTGCTTGGTCCTTTCTAGCCGTCAGCAATGACAGCATGTTGCATTCTGTCGTGCATGGTGTGCATGAAGTTTAGACGCTGACTGATCATCAGCAGTTGAAGCAGAGACGGCGGAGGACAAATGGAGACAAAAAGACGTTTTGCTGCGTACTGCATTGCCTTCGTATTGCTGATCATAATAGCCCTGTGGAGCAGTGGTAATCAGATGATAAAGGCCAAAGGCCTCGTCTATGATGCAGATCTACCTCTTGCAAAACGAGCATTGTTCGCATATGGCCCGACCGCTAGCCGACCTCTCCAGGACGATACTCGCACACTACCGGTAGATCTGCCACAAGGACTAGGGGCAGCAATCAAGGCGGTTACGGCATCAGCCAAGGCCAAGAGAAACGCAGTCCGAAGACTGACGACAGTGCTGACGCCGCCTACGAGTAAGAGCACTTCATGGAGACGATTACCCATGATTGGTGACGTCATGAAGAGCACCAGTACAGGCAGGGATGCTGGCACCATTAGTATCACTAGCGACAATGCCAATCGTGACCATGGTAGTAGTAATATCACAGAGACTGTGCACATGGACATGGAGAATGAGTCCTTTGGGAACATCATTGCTAACATTTCTGGCAGATACAGACCGCCTTGCGACAATCGATCGGGGAAAGCCAGCTACAGTACCATGGGATTCAGGCCTGGTCGGGTGCAGTTTGTTGGCAACCCCAAGACGCTTGCAGACCTGCCCAAGATTAGCATCGATCGGCCGCTTCCTCCGCCCAGGGGCAAGTATCCGAAGAGTGCCACACACCCGTGCGTCAAGCCGGTGTTCATACGACGGCCGGCGCAGCCAAGCGTGGCGCTCGTCAGCCTCCCGGGCAGCGGCAACACGTGGATGCGCTTTCTGCTGGAGCAGTCGACGGGCATCTACACAGGTAGTGTGTACTACGACAATAAGCTGTACCTTGCCGGTCTGCTCGGCGAGAATGTGACCTTACCAGCCGTCTCGGTTGTCAAGTATCATACCGGATCAACCAGCTCCCATCCCTGGTACTGTCCCGACTCTCACAATATTGGTGCAGCCGTGCTGCTGGTTAGGAATCCGTATTATGCAACGCTCAGCGAATACAACAGGAAGTTGACGGGCAGTCATGTCAAGGCCGCCAAGGCGAACGTCATAAAGTTAGGTAGGTGTGCCGCCGTACTCTGGCATGACCTAACGCACTCGTATGCACACTGAATGTGTCTGTCTGTCTGCCTGTCTCTCTCTCTCTCTCTCTCTCTCTCTCTCTCTCTCTCTCTCTCTCTCTCTCTCTCTCTCTCTCTCTCTCTCTCTCTCTCTCTCTCTCTCTCTCTCTCTTTCTCTCTCTCTCCTCTCTCTCTCTCTCTCTCTCTCTCTCTCTCTCTCTCTCTCTCTCTCTCTCTCTCTCTCTCTCTCTCTCTCTCTCTCTCTCTCTCTCTCTCTCTCTCTCTCTCTCTCTCTCTCTCTCTCTCTCTCTCTCTCTCTCTCTCTCTCTCTCTCTCTGTGTTTGTCTGTCTGCATTCATCTGTTTGTGTGTGTGTGTGTCTGTCTGTTTGTCTCCATCGATCTACCTCCATCTCTCTTCTGTTCAAGGAATCTGTCGAACACATCATCCAATGCCTTAATGAGATCAGCCAAGACATGAACAACTTTGATCATATTAAAACAAGAAATAGTTACTGTAACTGGTCAGGAATACAGGCCAGTACATGCTCACACATGTCAAATCATTGGTGTTATTCATATCTTGCAGATTTTGAACACTGGTCTAAGTTCTTCAGAGGCATGGTCTACCGATTCCTGGACTTGATGAAGACCTGGGCACTACGTCGCCATCCCATCCACCTAGTCTTCTACGAAGACCTAGTCGCGAACACACGGACAGAGCTGGAAAGCGTCTTGCACTTTCTGCAGCTACCCACCAATACGACACTGCTAGACTGTGTGCTAAAGAACAGGAAGGGCCCATTCCGGCGGAAACACCAAGTGGACGAGCTTGGAGGCAAGGCCGGCAGAGCAAGGCTACAACCCGAAATGGTGAAGACCATGGACTGTGCATTGCAGCAGGTGGACAAGTTCTTACCCGGCATCTATTGGCGCTATGCTCGCAGCACTACGCCACCGAACTGCAACTCATGAACTGGTTACATAATATCATGTATAACAAAAGCTTGCAGACAGGTTCTTTTTTTCAAGTTGCATGCCATCGGCAATGTTGGAGTTGCCGAGGCTTGAGAAGCTTGAGGATAGATGTGCGTATTAATCTTCAGAGGACACTTTGTGCCACCACATTTACTCAAACAGCCGCCCACCCGTACAGACCTATGAAACACTCAGAAATCAACCTGCCATATTTCACACACACGCACGCACGCATGCACACACACGCACGCATGCACGCACACCCGAGTTATTCTGTTATCGTGTGCAATATTGTAGCAAAGACTGCTTTGACTGTGTGCCTATAATTCCCCATGCCGACATACAACTAACCATACACACTTGAAGCAAATTGCGGCAGCCGAGCTGAGCTTATTTATTGCTTTTACACAGGGAGTCGTTTTGGGTACGTGTCCCTGCTTTTACACGAAACCACACCTGTGTGGTGGGTGAAACTCATTGGTTTGAGAAAGAGAAAAAATATTTTATTACTCAGTGATGTAGCACATGTAGTCCTGGCCAGTAAATTGGTGCCCAGCTGACGTGTGAGTGTCGTGAAGTACAATGCCACATGACGTTGCCAAGCTCAAAGCGCAAGAACAGCCTCTGTGTGTGTGTGTGTGTGCCTGCGCGTGTGGGGGGGGGGGGGGTGACTTACTGTGGTGCTTCTATGGGGATTCCAGGGGGTGTTAACCACTGGGCTGTTCAACAGTCAATTTTCTAAGGTTCTCTGTGAATCTCCCCTCTCCCGGGGAGACCCACGGAACCAGTTTCTTTTAATGAGGTAGACCAAAACAGATTGAGCCATCTCAGCGAGCCATCTCAACTCAAGTTCCAGGGAGGCAGTGGGTTGGGCTAAGACCATGATTGAGATAATTATGAGAGGTATCTGGTTCAAGTCCTGCCTGGGAGCGGTTTTTTCCAGCCGTGCTGTTTAATACCCACAGTCAACTGGGAACTACGTTGACAGGCGCAAGGGGTACATACATGTAGATGCGGCTAATGGGGTTCTTGGCACTTGTGCCAGTGGTTGTAGACTTATCCCCTCAACCCCACCCTTGGACGCAGCATCTGCATCCGCTGGACTTAGAAGGCCGTCATGAGTTCCCTCGGGAATGGACACGATAATACTTTTACTTCCAACTCAAGTGATCAAACCCATAATATAATAGTGGTACGCCCAGCACAAAGGTCAAAATTCAAAGTGTGATACATGCAAATGGAATACTCCGAATAGCGAAAAGGTCAAATATTTGTATGCGACTATTAGTAACTGGGGAAATTGAACTCACCCATGGGTGGTGCCAGGGAGTCGTCAATTACTTGATGATTCCCTGGGTGGTACTTTTAAAAGTATTGTTTTGATATTAGGACTCACAGCTGGAGTCACAGCTGGAGTCACCGGTGCACATGTTTGTTGATACCACCTTGGGTCTCATTTGATATTCCATAAGAGCAAGGAGTCCTACAAACACTACACATGTGCAGATGTACATGTACAAGTACAATGTTGCTCAATGAAATCCAGTCGCGCCACTCAAGCTTGCGCCTTGTATCATTTCGCAGCCCAGTGTTCGCTGGTCTGTGGCTGCGCAACGCCCGGCGCGTACTTGAGTGACGCGACTGGATTTCATTGAGCAACACTGTACATTTCTACTTCGAAGTACAGCTCGCTGGTCATCTCCTTGTATGGAGTCAGTACAGAAGAACATGATCAGCCAGAGAAGATGTATCCATGTATGTTTAGGAATGAGAGAAATTCAAATTCATTGTAAGCAGCCAGGGGCCTGGTAGGGTAGGCATTTTCCGCTTTTGTGGCAGTTCACTTCCCTGATTGTTCTCTTGTTTTTTTTTTAACCAAGGAAGTGAAATACTGTTCCCAGACTGTAACCAATGGCCAGGGTGTAAGTACTAAAGCACTCCCTTAACGAGTCAGTAAAGACTGCGGTTGGATGCACCCTCACTTTCCATCGATTGGCCAGGTCCAGCTGATGTATCAGCTCGGTCGTCTCAAACCCCCCTCCCCCAAGTTTTTACTACTGTTCAAGTGGTTCATGGGTGTGATTATAATAATACCAAGTATTATGATCTACCCATGAACCACTTGAACAGTAGTAAAACTGGGGGAGGGGGTTGAGACGACCGACTTGATACATCGGCTGGACCTGGAAATTTGATGAAAAGTGAGCATGAAACTGTGTGACAATGCCTGAACCGAAATACTGGGAAGGTAAGACGTGTACTTGAACGGGACCAGACGGCAGATGTGAACTTTCTCCTTAGAGCCCCCGGTCCACAATTATCACCTTGTCCCACCCAGCAAGGGTAATGATCATATTCATGATCCCACCGAGCTCACAGAGCTATGGCACAGATCAACACACCAAGTGTCACGTGTCATCATGAACTGGGGACCATCAACATGACCTCATTAGACAAACAGCCTCTGGATTCAGAGGCCTTTGGACAGTGAGACTTCATTGAAAGCAATGAAAACTAATCAGCAGCAATGCAAAGAGACGAGAAACATGGTAGCGTTTAGCGGACTGGAACTGAACACGAGCATTCCCACCAGGGGCGCACACAAATGCATAGTTAAAGAAGGATTAGGAATAATAGACTGATGTGTGTCATGCAATCTTTCTTGGAAAGCGGGTTTCGTGATACTATAAAAAAAACCAAATGCCATGCAAAGGAAATCGTCCTCAAGGAATTATATGGAAGTAAGTGCCGACGTTCCTAGATTTCATGTTAATTCATATCATCTAGGTGTCTCGGTTTTCATGGTAGATAAAAGTGTGGTATTCCCTTTGTATAGTGAAGTGTAAGCTTGCTCACCGTCTGTCCAGCTGCCGCAGTTTTGCTTCTAGTTTCTTAGAGTAATTGTCTAGTTGATACGCTGACTTTTCCAACGCCCCAACACTCTCATCTAGCTGGTCTATTTGGTCAAGGTATGGCTGCAGGTTGCGATACTTCTCGTTGAGTTCGTCCATCATGCCGGTGAGGTCCCGTGACAGCGAGGACATATCGGAGTACTTAGCCGTAGTCATCTTGTTCAGCTTCTCCAGAAGTAGATACTCTTCACCAGTGGAAAGCAGCTCTCCCTGAAGGTACTCCGTGGTTTTCTCGAACATATCCCTGCACATCTCATGTACCTGGGGTGACACTGGTCCATTATCAGTGGACCTAGACTCTGCAGTTGCAACCAATTCGCCTTCCACACTCTCTGCCACCTCAGGAGATGCCGGCGCTTGAGCCTCGGCCATGGTTAAAGTGATATGATTGTCAACACTTAGCACAATTTCCTCGTGAATAGGTCTACTTCACAGAATTGCTGGTACTGTTATGAATACAGATGTCTATTTTCAAAACAAATGAAGTAAAAAACAACAACTGCAACTGACCGTATACACTACAAGTCGTGTGCCTCTAACTCCAAGCATTTACGGATAATTGTAATACAAGTGATGTGGTCCCAAGACGCTAAAGAGATATCCCTACGTAACTATCTTCATCCCCAGTTAGCTGTCTGCCCTGACCGATGATGATCGACATGATCATACGAAAAGACATGTGAAGAGACACAAAACATGTTTTGCAGTGGTTCATGTTTGGCTTTTTCACCCTGTTTTGCGGACAGTGACGTATATACTTGTGACGTCGTTGTGTTCGATCGTGTACGCGTGGCAGCGAGATCTTTCTGGGACTGCGTGTAGTGGTGTAGGGCGCTTATTTGAGTGTCGTGCGTGATTGTTTTTTTCTCTCTGTCTGTCTGTGTCCTATTTTCAGATTTTGAATTGCTGTGTCTAGCTATTATTCTCCCATGATCGATCCATGTCTTGCAGCTTGTGCAGTTGAAGGATAAAATACTAGTGACCTCCAGACCATTTCTGAAGCTAGCCAGAAGGTTTTAGTGTACTGTGAAAGAACTGGGATTTGCAATGGCTGGTTCAGAAGTCATCACCCTACAAGTTGGCCACTATGCAAACTTCGTCGGAGCACATTGGTGGAATATGCAAGAGGGTAGTTTTGGCCGCAGACAGCCAGGATTTGAGAAGGAGATAAACCATGATCGGTTCTTTCACACTGGTTGCACATCGAAGGTGAGTATGTTACACGTATTAATTTGTTTGATACCCTCAGCCCTTTCTTATTCTGGCACGCTTGGGCCCACATTGTAAGGGTGTCCATTTTTGCTACATTTTTTTGTGGAGAAATTCGTAACTATTACACATGTCCGAGTTGAATATTACACATGTGTGTATCAGCAGCAAAAAAAGTGAGAATGAACAATAGAAATATACAAAACTAAAAAGGAACACACGAAAAGCAACAACTTCGCCACACTATACGACAAACATTATTTGAACAATTTTAGAGTAATAATACCGGTACTATCTTTCTGGACACACAAATTCGCCTTATGAATATGCTGACAGATAGTTTCCGAGCACGGCACAAAACAGAAAAATATGAATCAGAATAAGTACGGCAACAGTCAGTACTAGAGACCAAATGATTGTACACTGAAGATTTGCTATTACGAAACGTACGCACACAATCTCGACTCCGGCAAATACCCTCACAAACACTCTCATCCTCACTCAGCTCACCTTCTCCTGAAACAATCGGAGAGGGCGATGATTGACATGAAAGTAGCGGCATCTGAGGCTTATGGTGATGGTGGGACGCAGAACGAAGTGAATGAGGAGAGAGTCAAACCGGTGCGGAAGATGGAGGAAGTTGTGATTCGAGTAGTGAATATAGATATTAGATACACCAGATGGCTGAGTTAAAGGGGAAGTCCGGTGAAAAATTTAAATTTCAGGGTCGGTAGAGTTTCGGGCGCTGAGGCGAATGGTGTTGGTCCCACGTGTCTCCGACAAAGCGTTCTCGAGATATTCCCGTTTGAAAAACTGAGTTTCGGGGCTGCGCCATGACGTCATGCGGCCGCGCCACACCCTCCGCAACGTCATAGCGTGCAGCTGGGTCAAAAGGAGTGCGTGAAAGCAATAGTGTCAGTGCTATTTCAAATGATTTGGCGACTGATGTTAGGTGGTGCAAGCGACCCCGAAGACCTAACTCCTTGTGAGAGTGAGGATGCAGCCATGGCTGACCTTCATGAGTTCGGTCTGGGGCTGAGAACCTCGGTATTCAGCTGAAGAAATGGCCCCGCGGGCCGTTCAAGAGTGAGCGCTACTGAGTTTCCGACTGATGAAGAAGCAGCAGCTATTGCAGACGAGGCTGATATAATCAGATCGCTGGAGAGCAGGGTCGCCAAAATGGAGAAGAGTGATGCGAGTGCTCTAAATGTTGTTCCATACCGATTCGCTTAGACTCCAGTAGCCTGCCACATAGTGATGTTTTGGTGAGAACTTGGCATATTTCGGACTACTCAATTGGAGAACAGTGCAGGCTCTTTGAACCACGGGCACGACTCTTCGCTCGCAACGCTATGGAATCTGAAAGTTCTAGGTCCGGGAGCTGTTCGCTGTTTTGTCACTTGTCACGGTTGTGCGCTCACCGCTGTAGCACAAAAATTAATGAGGCGGGGGCGGAAAACTAGAATTTTCTTTCTCAAAGCACAACCACCGGCACCGGCGAGGAGAAACGCACGTTCTCTGACTACATGACTGTGCAATACGACTGATACGAGTGTAGTACATGACAAGTCCGTGTGTTGACTAGTTTTCTGAGTCTTGTGTCTGTTGTGACTCGAGTCTTGTTGTAGCCCCAGCACGGCAGTGCGAGAGTAGTTCCGTGTGTGATGAGTTTGTTGACTGCACTACAGCTAGCATGCACGCAGCGCAGAGCCGTAGAGCTGACGGAAAAAAGTCCAACTCGGAAACGGCTAAAATACGGTATAACCTCGAGGTTTACCGAGCTGAAAATCACAGGGTACGTAGTGTTTGTAACACTGAATCGAATGGTCTTGGTCCGAAGAAGCTGCGACAAACGGTTCCCCAATCGAACGCGCTCCGAATATGGCCATTTTGTACACAACTAGATGGTGTGGCTACCTGGCTGCATGCTGTGACGCCATCACCTGGATCTGGGTGATGCGCGCTCAAATTCGCACATGTTCGATTGGGCGTATCTGACGAACCATAGGCCGCAGCCTCCTCGGGCAAAGACCATTCGACTCAGCGACCCGAACTCTACGGACTGTGAAATTTAAAATTTTCACCGGACTTCCCCTTTAAAGGGTTGGTAGAACGTCCTTCAGCACCGTGAACGCACGTATCGTTGTAAAGACTGTACATACTTTCACAGCGTAATAAGTCTTACGTACAATAGACTTAACAGTTCACACTACGAGAAATACGTTCAGACTCCTGGCCTTTGTATGGGAGACAAAGGTACACAGGGCAAACCGTGTGGTATATGGAGCTCAGGTGGCCGCATGGGGTCATGCACAATGTCTCCAGACAATGTACTGAGTGCTTCAAGCGGTGCTTCAGGTTCTTTCCGTTTCTTCTGTCGGCCTGGGACATCGTTCATGACAGCCCAGAGTTGCCGTTGATCTGATGTGTCACATCTTTTAGTGAAATACAAGTTGCGCAGACACCAATCAGTGTGTGGTTGTATTTCATGTGCTGGATGTGACTGTGTTGCTGCTGTTCTGCAGGGTGAAGAGACGTACACACCACGCATGGTCTTCATGGACTTGAAAGGTTTGTCGAATTCTCTTATCTCTTCGGCTGAGGCTCGGTGCAATCTGACGATATAGTGTCGGAAGCCAATAGTCAGAGGGCTTTTAGCCTGTTCATCACTAGTTTAGTTCAAACTCCCCTCTACGTGCACTCTTGGATCGACCTCAACACGAATCCAAATTGTTGTGGACATTGGCATAATTTCCACCATACAGCTGTTGCTAGTTGCCGTTGCCTCCAAGTTGCCCGATTTTTCATTTCCAATGTTGGTGTCACGGAGGTGGCTTCAAACAGAAAGTTTGGAGTGCACGTCAAGTTCACCCTGAGTTCTGAAATCAGGTAATTGCTATCGCTCCACGACGGCAAGTACAAAGAAACAATATAAGCCTTGTGTGTGCTTCCATTAGTTTTCATTGCTATACGGTGCTTTATTGGCGAGTGGTGGGCCGCTGTTTACCTGCGACAATAAGTTGATTTTTCAAAAGACGTCAACTCAAGTCGCAGTGCGAAGCAACACGTCAAAAACTCACCTGCTTGGTACAGTATAGCGCTTCTGGTCATCGCAGAGCTATGACATTTTGGCTCAGAGAAAAAGCGTAGTCTCACTGTGACATATGTTTTGTAATCAAAATACCAAGAGAGAAAGTGAATACTGAGCCCGTTCCGGTTTGCAACCTATTTCCTATTTGAAACCATCTCCTCTACACAACTGAGTACCCTGTTCCCAGCGGAGAAGGATCTGAAAGTAGAAAAGTCTTCTTTTTTCATCGATTGAATGGTTATCTCTTCGTTCTTCCCCTTCCCTATCTGGGCCGCTCCTCTGGTACTTTTTGACACTCTGTCTCTGGTTTGCTTCTTTAGGTAGCCTACGGCACCTACGCCGTGACGGCACGCTGTATGAGTCAGGTGACACGGATGTTGCACAAGTCGCAAGTGTGTGGTAAGTCCAGTGCATGTACAGTAAAACCTGTTTGAGAGACCACCTGTTTGAGAGACCACCTGTTTTGAGAGACTGCTGATTCAGGCCTCCATAATAATAATTATTATTATTTGTAGAAAAGAGAAGAAAACACATGAGAACGAGTTCTGCAACAACTGTCCAGGACTGTAACAAGATGAGTCAGAACGTGAGATAATAGGGCACAAAACTGACAGGCTACTGAGACATTCAGCGACCTGAGACCTAGCTCTAACACATCTCCAGTGCGCAAACCAACAGCCTTCCAACTTGGAGGGTTCATGGTTACGTAGGACCAAAGAGGGGAAGGTCGTGGATAGTTGCTGCCTAGCTCGTTCTCATGTGTTTTCTTCTCTCTTTTTTACATTTATTATTGGCTCAGTATCCGAGTTAAAATTATTATTATTATTTAAATTTTGAATAAGGCAATCTCCACAGGCCTAAGGCCTTTTTACAGGGTACCCTATGTGATTACGTACAGATTTGCAGAATAGTGAAAACGAGGAGCAAGAGCGAATGTCAGCTGGGAGAGAATTCCAACGGTCAGAAGCCAGAAAGCTCAAAGCGAATAAGCCATAACGATTGCGTGCTTTAGGCAGAGCAAGTGAATCCATAGACTGGGAACGTGTAAGGGCAGCTGTGTGTGTAGTGGCGGAACAAAGGCAGAAGCAATCAGAGAGTAGAGTACTACTACACATGCCACGTAGGGCCCGGAAGACAAGAATATACAGTTTTTAAAAGCTGATAGCGCAATGCAATAGGAGCAAGGCCATATCTGGCGTGTAAGACTGAAACATCATAGTGCCAAGGAAAACCGAAAACAATCCTAACAGCGGGGTTATCAATACGAGTTAGTCTGTCATGTTGTGTGGTGTGAAGGCAGTGCACAAACACATTAGAGAACCATACTACAGGTGTGCTTGAATAAATGAGCAGTAGAAGGTTTTTCTCGCAGCTGATGTCAGGTTGTCCTTGATCTTGCGGAACATGGCAAGTTTTGCTCCGACCCTTTTCACAAGTTCACTAATATGCAAGGAGAAGGATATTATTATTAAAGTGCTCGTCAAAAGTAAGGCCAAGATACTTCACTGTTGGTGGTGGGGATATGAGAACATCACCGAGCCGAAGGCAGATGTTAGGAGGAACACATTTTTGTTTTTTTGGTCTTATGATGATAAACTGAGTTTTGGAGTCATTAAGTTGGAGACCTCGGTCACGTAGATACTCTCTGATGACAGAAATGTCAGTAGAGAGATCATCAGTGAGCTGCTGAAAGTTAGTGCCTGCCTTGTACATAGACACGTCGTCTGCAAACTGCCGAACCTCACTCGTGATTGCACAAGATGGGAGAGCTCTGACGGATAGGTTAAAGAAAGCAGGACCCAATGTTGACCCTTGGGGTACACCTCTGGCAGGTGTGTACTGTTCACCTTCCTGATGCTTCGTGACTACTCGTTGGCGACGGTCGCATAGGAAACTAGCTGTCCAGTGCAGTGCAGTACCACCGACACCAATAGAGAAGAGTTCTTGCAGAAGGGAGGCGTGATTGACTGTATCAAATGCTTTGCTGAGATATAGAAAAGCAGCGACCGCAAATTGGCCATTGTCTAGACATGCTTGCCAGTCGTTTGTTGTCGTGGCTAAAGATCTTCGCAGGAATGCTGCTTGCGGTAGGCGAACTGTTCATTTGGCAGCGCGTTCGGAAATGATTCACCTTGTATGTGCGACATGATCTGCTCATACGCGCACCTCTCTAGCAGCTTGGAAGCGATTGGGAGGAGGGGAATAGGTCGATAATTACTGGGATCAGATGGACTCCCGCGCTTGTGAATTGGACGAACGTTGGCAATCTTGTATAAAGAGGGAAAAACGCCTGATCTGAAAGAGATGGCGAAGAGCTGGGGAAGAGAAGGAGTGATATGCTTCTGGAGGAGTTTGTAGATGGACGGAGGTATTTTATCGGGGCCACTTGCTTTGTGGCTGTCAAGGCTTTTCAAATGAGTCACTATGGTTGCTGCAGACACCGGTTCAAACTCAGTGAGTGCGTTCGATTATGCACGCGAATCGATTCGCGCTATTCACATCACCCCATGTGAAGAGGGTGAATGGATTCCGAATCGATTCGTGGGTCATGACATGAAAATCGAACGACTTGAATGCATGGAATGGATTCATGAATCGAGTCAAGTGCATAATCGAACGCAGCCACTGAGGGACGACTCTGGCATTGGTTCGATCGGTAGTTCGATACCTGTGCCTGATCGTGAGGGTGCACTCGAAGCGCGCTGTGGAGCGGTCGGTGTGACATTGAGGTGTCCAAAGGTCACGGTGCTAGCTGCACCTCAGCAGTGCAGGTGTTGCTGGGGCAGGGGCTCCCGTGGGTGAGACTATCCTGGCGAACGTTGCTGAAATGTCTTTGACTGAGGCATGGGGCTCATGGTACACAGTTGTTCTCCCAAGCAAAGAGTTGATGGTTTTCCACTGTAGCCTTGGGTTGCAAATGTTTCGAGTCAGTTCATTTTGGAAGTATGCAGCTTTCTTTCTTCGCATGAGGAGTTTACTTTCGCACCTTAGATCACGAAAATCCTGAGTGAGATGTTGGTCATCCGGTCTCTGTGTCATTTCCTATGCGCTCTTTTCCGGAGATAGAGCAATTGCCTTAGTTCACCCTCCACCCAAGGAGAAGGTTTGTATCGTGGTGATGTCGTGGTCGGACAATGCTTGTCGAGGGTGTCAACTATTGAGGTTTGGAATAGGGCAATGTGTTCGTTTCGAGTGGTCTCAGAACGCAATGTGTTGTTAATATGGAGAGCAGCCAAACGGGAGCTAATGTCGTCTTGGAATTGTTGAATGTTTATTGCTCGAACTGGAGGCTTACGAATAGTAATTCATTCTTCTTTGAATGTTTGTAGCATGGTAGATAGCTCGAGAATGACAAGTTGGTGGTCAGATACGTCGCATGGTTGAACGGAGCATGTGATGGAATTGACATTGTTTCCACGGGGCTGTGAGTTTGGCAACTGAGCAAGCAGGTTAGGTACTAATGCAAGGTCAATGGTGGAGTTGCTCGGCAGCCTCGTGGGAGCGAGTACCACATTTCGTAAACTGTTATCGCTGCAGAAGGTTTGGAGGTGGGTGTAGTGTGGGTGATTGTTGTTCCCGAACATTGACATTGAAATCACCAATGACTATTGTGTGCGACTTTGCTGCTGTGGATCCTGAGATGTTGTCTACTGTGTCAGTCAGTTTCTGCCACAGTATGACAGGCGTGGACGGTGATCTGTATGCAGCAATAATGTTTAGTGTGATTTCTTGAAGACGTACATGTATCGACACTGCTTCTATATCGTTCGTGATCTCTATTCGATTGTGCTGCAGTCCATCACGGACATAAATGCATACTCCTCCTCCAGTCTTGTCTTGCCGGTCTCGCCGGTAAATGCTATAGCCACGGAGGTGTACGGAGTTGTTGTGCACAGTGTTGGTCAACCAAGTCTCCGTTATGGCTAGAATATCTACTTTGTGGTGATGCATTAGGTAATGAACTTCATTTAACTTGTGAAAACGACTACACACATTGACACGAGCAATAGCTAGCTTTGAGGTGGCGTTGCTGGGGATGCCTGCGCTGAGTCCTATTGTGAAGTATTGAGCATACGGGCAATGTCCTCTGTGGATAGAGGTTTTCTGCTGTGCAAGATAACATCTCGGGGCAGGTGGCACTAAACTCCCTTGTCCCTAAGAGCTCAGAGCTTAGGGACAAGTGCTCTCCGCCGTTGTTGCTCTTGCCGGGTCTGGTCATGCTGGATGTAGACTTTCTCACCACGATAAGTAGCTTTCATTTTATGTTGCATGAGCTGAGACTTGGCTTGAGGCGTCAGGACCACATGTACAAGGCGAGCCGGTCTCATGCCAGGGTGCTGGCCTGTACTACTAGTACTGGCTGTAGTACTGGCTGTAGCACTTGTGTTAGCTGTGCTGACAGTGTCACGGCGCGGCTGCTGGCCTAGGCGGGTAGCAGACTTGATGTCACTCAGCGCTATGTTTGGCGCGAGGCTTCCGATTATGGCCGGGAGGTTCTCCGAGGTGCTCTCTGTCAGGCCGCGTAACACAACATTGTGAGCCCTGCTGCACTTGTCCGCGGCCTCCGTCACAAGGTCGCGGAGTTTCGCTTCTGGTGTGCCTTGTATGGGCGTATCAGGGATGAATTTATCCGGTATCGCATCGCAGTTTGCTACGCAAAATCGATCTACTGCTACTCAAAAATCACAGTGACACGCAGAAAACTGTGATACATACATGTACATGCTATACATGCTTGTTGTAGCTTACGCACAATTGAGATTTTGCATAGCAAAAACTGCTATGCAAAAACCTGACAGTAAATTCATCCCTGGGCGTATCCACCGGATTTTGGCAGGTGGCTGTGGCGACAGGATGGCGAGCAGTGATGGTGGCAAACGTCTCCTTCACCTCTGCAATAGCGGTCTAGGCGCCATTCTCCACTTTCGATACATCCTCAGAACCTTTGTCGACAGCGGTCCTGAGCCGACGATTCTCCACTGACAGGCGGTTGATGTCAAGGCGCTGCTCGCTGACTGTCGTCTGAAAGTCATCAATTTTCTGCAGTAGACCGGCCAAAGTTTCTTTTACAGGAGACTTCAGTTCTGTCCGGAGCTGCGCCTGGAAACTATCCAGCATCTGATTCATCTGGCTCACAATTACTTGGCTCTCACGATCACTAGCACTGGGACTGTCGCTGGTTTGGTCCAGTGTAGCGCCCGACTTGCATGCTGCTTTACGTGTCCCTGACACGGGCCAGTCAACGCTCTCAGTGCTCGGGCACAAGCTCTCGTTCGGGCTCTCGGGCTTCCTTTTGGTGGCCTTTGCCCTAGGCGTCGAGTCAGTGCTACTTTCTAAATCGACATGATTTTTGCGCATGTAGCAATTGTGTTGTCACCTGTCCACCAGTTTTCTTTACCCCGTGGGCTGGTTGCTAAAACCAGTAGACTCTGCTCTTCCAGCCTGCGTGTTCTCGCTAGGGTTTCAGTCTTCTTTCACAGCAGCTGGTCTACTACTAAGTATCAGTGCACAGCATGTACATGTATTTCAGTCCACTTTGGCAGCTGTTGGCAATATCTGTGGCAGTTCAGTCTGCACTAACCCTAGCCAGCTACAACCATTTCATTAGAGCACACTCGTAAGGGGCCGACCAGGGTTACCAATAGTTTTTGCGAAACGAAACGTTTCAGTGTGTTTCAGCACCCACCCACCTACCTTTTCTGCAGGTAAAACGAATTCCAATAAAATATTGTTGTCAATGGTCGACACCCTGAAGTAACTAGGCATTCTCTATCTGCATTCAATAATTATTTTCAAAACGAAACTCGTTGAAACCCACCCAGCCCCAAACGAAATCTTTTCGTTTGAAAAGTTAATAGTATTGGTAACCTTTGACGGCCCGGCCCCTAAGCTGGCTTTTTTTAGTGTCAGTATATAATTATGCAGCTGTGTCATCAGTGGCTAGTATGCTGAGCTAACATGTAATGACATGCATGATGTATGTTAATGCAAGGAGAATATGCTGTATGCTACCCATGCTGGCTTGCGCAGGGATGTTCAAATCATAGATGCCCATTACAGGACACAAGCCGCACAGTTCTGTGTTCTGATCGGGTAATGGTGGGTGTTGATGTGTGTGTGTGTGTTTGTGTGTGTGTGTGTGTGTGTGTGTGTGTGTGTGTGTGTGTATGTGTCTGTGTCTGTGCGTGCGCGCCCTCTATCCTGGGGTTCTTCACGTTCAGGCAGGGCAGCGTAAATCAAGAAGTGACCAGTGCCTCTGCCAAGAACCAGTTCTTATCTGATCTGGATGCGGCTGATGCAGCTTACATGCAGCAACAGACCGGAGTGGCATCCGCTGGTATACCAAGTGCCACAACGCCTGCTTCTACAACCGCTACAGCCGCAGCCGCAGTAGCACAGCAATCAGACGTTCCCATGCCCGACCGGTACTATGATTTGGACGACACGGTGGAAGTATGGTCCGACTACTTGCGGCCTCACCTCCACCCGAGGAGCGCTTGTGCGATCAACCGCTTTACACATTGCAGGTAAACACTGTCTGAGGCATTATCCACTAGTACACGCATGCCCCTAGATACTAGGCATGTGGTGGTAATAGCCAGTGAAATATTTGGCTTTGCCTAAAATACCCACTACTAGTGATGTCGTGATCAAGATCTAGGTCAACGACCGTAGGTCTTGACTAGAATGTGGACTATGAACAGGGGGTGGGGACACACTGACTACGGTCTGTTGGGATGGGTGTATTACATTATTCATGCACTAATTGGTAATAAACCATACGATGGGGAAGTGATTTGCACTCATGTTTATTGTTCATGCCGCTAAGTAAGACATGTCAGGCGTCAGCTACCCACCTCTGTAACGTGTTGGCGGATGCTGTTGCTGCTGTTGCTACTGGCAGTGATGTTGCTGCTGGCAGTGATGTTGCTGCTGGCAGTGATGTTGCTGCTGGCAGTGATGTTGCTGCTGGCAGTGATGTTGCTGCTGGCAGTGATGTTGCTGCTGGCAGTGATGTTGCTGCTGGCAGTGATGTTGCTGCCGGCAGTGATGTTGCTGCTGGCAGTGATGTTGCTGCCGGCAGTGATGTTGCTGCTGGCAGTGATGTTGCTGCCGGCAGTGATGTTGCTGCCGGCAGTGATGTTGCTGCTGGTGGTGATGGTGGCACTAGTAGAGTAAAACCTGTGACTAACGACCACCCCTTGGGGCCAGAGAAAGCGGTCTTTAGTGGCAGGTGGTCCTTAGTTAGAGGTTTGCACCGCACAACCATAATTAGGAATGTGAGACCATCCGTGCCTGGCGAAGTGGTCTGTAGTACCAGGCTGGTCGCTAGTCACGGTGGTCTTTAGTTACAGGTTTTACTGTACGTGTGTGTGTGTGTGTGTGTGTGTGTGTGTGTGTGTGTGTGTGTGTGTGTGTGTGTGTGTGTGTGTGTGTGTGTGTGTACATGTATGTGTACTTATCTGTGTGTGCTCAGCGATAGCGATCCGTTTGACGTCTATTCGATGGGTCTTGACGTCATGCAAGATATCTCGGTACGTTGACCAGACACTGTGCAGTAGTACGGTATTCTCCAGAGTATAAGCCGCACCCAGATTTTTTGCCACGAAATACAGACATCTACTGTAAACGCCATTATTCTAACGAGGTGGGCGCATATATAACGATTTCCCAAAATTGGCTAGTTTACGTGTACCAAAGGTAACAATTCTCACTCATTCTCAACCCTCAATAGGACAGTATATGTATCGATTTCTGTATAACAATTTCTATAAACGACAGATTTCTCCTCGTTAACTCGTTAGAGTTAGCAGTTCGTTATTTACAATACCCTATTTACCAGTCCGTTAATTTGATCATCGTAGTATAAGCCGCACCAACTTTTTTTGGGTGAATTACTGATGTTTAGCCAAAGTGCGGCTTATACTCCGGAAGATATGGTAAGTACTACTGTGATACCGTACCAGTACTACCACTTTGGTGCTTCTCGTGCCCTTGTATTTGATAGTGCAGTACTATGTCATCCCTTGTGAACTGATCAGTGCAGAGACGTGCTGGTAACCCTGTTGGATCGTGCATTCATGTTTACTGTATGGAGAACCGCAGCACTATGGAACGTTATGATTATGACTTTTACTTTCAAGGGTGGTAGCTGCACATGTGGGTGACATTGTATTGACTGTGTGCCTTTGGCTCTTGTCTACAGATGGCCGATCAGTTTGAAGATCAAGTGCGATTCTTTGCTGAGGCGTGCGACCGCTTGCAGGTGAGGTGGAGCCGCCCTGATCAATGTCTCGCAACTGCCAAATATGTAGTAGGGAAAGGAAGCTTGACCACTTGCCACAATGGTGGACCAAAAATAAAGATTCGCGAAAATTGCTACGTCGCAAATTTCTATGGAAACTCCAGAGCACGCAATCCTTTTCGAACCTCATCAGTCATTTTTGATGCTTGTTAGCTTTTGTAGTCGTGTGACCGATTTTAGTTGATTGTTCGAGAAAAATTCAAATTCCTCCGTATGTTTTCCATTACACACAAGTCATCAAGCGATGGACAGCCGAGAAATTCGTTGTTTCTCCGCGTTTCGTGCAAAAGCACTCATCAGACAACTTTGTAAGGACACTCACAATAGAATATCGAATATCGAAGCATCATCCGCAAGGACCGCAACCAATAACAACTTGAAGAAAGAAACTATGCAACAAGTGCAACCTGGAAATTGGTAAGCATGGCACAGGCGTAGATGAGCTGTTCCAGTATTTCAAACATGGAGTTGTCAGTTTCACCATCGATGATGGCAAAGTTCAGGGCTCACGGTTGTGTACAAATACGTGGGCGCCATTTTGTTTCTGGCCAGCTCACGCGACGACAGGTCGACTGTCACGCGACCACAGCTCGACCACCCCTTGTACACAAACTCTAGCCATCTCGCAGCGCATTTTCAGTGCGACACATGCCTCTTCAAAATAGAATAAGGTAGCACAGGTAGACAGTACGACACTGAAAATTTGGGTGGAACCAGGCAAGATGTGAACTAGGGGTTCAACCGAAGGAATTTTTGATTTTGGCCCTGGGAAACTGAAGATATGGTCACAAAGTCCGTGAATGCTCTACAGCGATCCCTTCATCTAGAAAAAAATCGCTTCGGTTAAACTGTAGCTTAGTATCTACTGAGGATTTTGAGCCATCGATTGTCAAAATCGGCCAATATTGTGCTACCTTATACTGTTTTGAAGTGAGCTCAGTCGGCAGGGGCGCACGCGAACTCCCGTGCGCGACGACAAGGAAGGAAGCCTGTGCATATGCGTTGTACGATGCGGAAACTACACCAGCGAGGCAGCAGCAAGGCGTTTTTTGCAATGTTTCCTCCGTGACTGACAAACTCTTGAAATATTATTCACCGTTTGCTGTCTCGCTCATCGGCGCTCTACTGCTGTGTGCTTCAGCAGCTATGGCGAACCGAAAATACATGACCAGTACAACGGCGAAGCCATTTGATTCGTCCTCTTGCAACGAAACAGAGTGGCAAATCAAATAATTCACAACTCTCCATCGTCACTTCTCACAGCAGCGTGGCACGGCTCTTTCACTCGTGTAAGTGCATTTACAAAACGCTCTGAGAACAGAGATAACGAACTAGAACACGGTGTGAGTCTTTGCTTCATTCCATCAAGGAGCTCTTGTCCTCTACCTCTCCTCACCTGCGCCAGTGCATCAGCGGAGGACATAGATGTCGATCCCTTTCTCACTAAAAAAACTCGGCGGCAGAACTCGCGACTTCTCATCGCAGGACTCAGCGTGCGAACGAACTGTCTGAAGCCTTCGGCTTACGAGGCCAGCACTGCTCGCAACACACTCGCTCGGAAAGAAGCAATAACAACGACAGTGAACGGCAACCAAAGTGAAACGCAAGTCCCCAGCCGGTCTCCGTCTTCCTCAGTTCTACTGCTTCTTGTCAGTCACCAGGTCACTGCAACTCTCTCCTTGCTGTGCTCCGCACCGCGTAGGCGTGCTAGGCAAAGCCCGATTTTGCTAGCAATTCTGCTAGCAAAATATCGAAGAATTTTGAAAGGGAATTTGCTGGCAAAATGGAGCAAAATATCGGTGTGTTCTCTGTAAATTGGGAGATTTTACACTTCTACGGTGCACGTGACTCATTTTCGCACAGTTTTACCAACACGTGACTCACTTTTTCTCATTTTTGCCACCACGTGACCCACTTTCGGTCAGTTTTCCCGCGTGTGACACAAATTTTGGAGTAAAAAGGGAGCAAAATATCGAGTGGCCTGGCAAAATGAAAGCAAAATATCGACGATGAGCCAGCAAAATTATGCGGCAAAATATCGAAGCTTCACTAGCAAAATCGGGCTTTGCCTAAGGCGTGCACAGCTCGAGTCACGCGAGCTCATTTCTATGGTGATCAGATTTCAAGATGTCCTCCCACGTAATCGAGTTTTGGCATCCCAACCGTGAGCCCTGAAGTTCGTGATGCGACCCATCTTCCTCTCCACGTGAATACGTACACCAGGGATCTTCTTAGTTGTGGCTAGGTCTTGTGGTATCATTTGCCTGTCTCCCTTCTTGAATGGAGGAATGTTGAGCTTCGCACCATGCTCTATAAGCAACGAGCGATGTCAAACCCTTTATCCGCCATTACCGAGTCACCGCGTTCCAAGAGGGGTAGCAAGCCACATTGCTCTGTGATTGCTAAATCCGAAATACTTCGAACACTGGGGAGACAAATGTGACATGTCCATGTGGAGCGATGCCAATCAGGCATTTAACCGTGTTGTTTTTGTAAGATGACCATTTTGAGCAGACAGGGAAGATGGACAATTAACGTAGAACTCTGTACAGTCAATAACAACGCGCGTAGACGGATACCACAGCTTGAAGCAAGGAGGCATAAGGTTGTCTATTTTCCGCCTTGATAGCCAAGACGGCTGGTCTCTGAATTTCCAGTACATGAGGTCAACCCATGTTGTGATGTACCGAGATGCTGTTGACGGGTGGATCTTGAAGGGGTCAGCAAGGTCGGCGAGCTTCAATCCTTGCCTAAGGCGCGCCATCATGAGATTAATTCCACGCTGTTCATTGTCACCACTCCCTGCCACGGTCTCATGATGGATGCAGACTCTTTCAGGAAGTTGAAGCAGGCCACAAACATCAAGTACGAGGTGAAGAATTGCAGCACTACCTGGTTGTTCTTCAGTCTTTGATGCTGAATACGTGCTCCTGAGCAGCCTCCACATTTTTGTTCTGCAGAATGCTGTGATCCTTCAGTTGACAAATTTCTTCCTTCAATTCTCCAATTCGCAAATTGAGACCTTCGACGCAGGCACAGCAATCAACGCAGTGGATGGAGCCAGAAACAGAAGAAGACGTATCCTTCTCCTGAAGTCCACAGTCCAGAGAGTCGTCTTCTTGAGACGAAGGCTCTGGCTGATCAGGTGGGTTTCTTTGTCTGGGAGGTAGAGGAGTCCTCTCCGCCGGAGCTTTCCTTTTTTTTCGGTTCAGGACGGAACGAAAATACTGTGGGAACAGCATCAGGGCATAGCCTTTTCCTCTTCTGAGTCGTCGCCTTCTTGCTATCCACACGCCGATGTTCTCCGGAATGGAAGCAATCCGCAGTGAAGTGCAAAGAGCACATCTTCGTGTGGGTATTTACAGAAAATGTTGACCCAACATCTCGGCCAATATTCACTATCCACTTCTTCCTCAACTCGGTTCCATCGTCAGGCAAAGAAAGAAAAGACGCTTCATTCCCACCTGGCCGCCCACTGATGGAGGAACAAACTTCAACAAAGAGGGACGCAGCAATGGCGAGGCATGACGTTTCTTCGACATACACAACAACACTGATTACTTCTTCCAACCCTTCTTTCAACACCCATTCGGTTTCCCGCAAAATTTCAGCATGCCATCACTATTACAAAGCGCAAAGGGTTTATTGTGCAGCAAGCTTTCTCTCAATTCCTTTGACATTACTCTAGGTGGAGTGTACTCTCTGAGAGGCACTGCCAGACTCACCACCACGTACCAGCTCGGATCGGAACTATCCTGCAGAGTAGATTCTCTTCTACGCAGGGCACGACTCGCAGCGCTTCACTACTGGACACAGACGCTGTAGTGATCTTCACCCCGTGATCGGGCAACAGCCAGTCCATTGCCCTGTCTTGCCATCTTCCTGCATGCTCAGGATGATCAGCTTTGCAAGGAGCTGATCGCCTGTGTCGCCTCGAAGCATATCATCTGATGCAGTCATTATTTCAGCCACGGTGGTTGAGAGTGATATTGTCCTCTGTGCAGTATCAGTCCTGAGAGGGTAAGTGATGCAGTGGCTTTTTCAGCTTGTCCAGGGGAACGATTGCAGTGCAGCCAGAAAGAGCACTCTGGCCCACAAATCACAATGCAGTAGTTGCTCTCCCAGTACCAGGATTAGCAGTGGATATGGTGCTGCGTATTGTGAAAGGCTAAGTTGTTTGTTGCAGTGTGTGCATGTTTCATGCTCCTGGTGGTGAGCGTACACACAAGACAAGCACTTGTGCTTAAAGGAACGGGTTGTGATCTGGTAGAAGTCCTCTTCTGCCATGTCAATGGCAACATACTGTGCAACATGCTGCTTGGATGTGCTTGCTGGGGCCTGCATCCACAAACTTCCTTTTCTTCGCTGGACGACCACCCTGCACCAGCTTCTCTCCTATCTCACATGATGTGCAAGGACCAATTTCAGGGTGCTTTAGCCATTGGTGGGCAACCCTAGGCCCTAGACGTTGCACTGGATGCAGCAACTACGCTGGGCTCACTGGATGACAATGTTGAGCCTGTGGTAGAGATACCACTATCACTGAACTTTGTAAGAGTGGCAACACCTGTTACTTCTTCCAAGCCTTCTTTCAGCACCCGTTCGGTTTTCCCGCAAAATTTCAGCATGCCATGACTATTACAAAGCGCAAAGGGTTTATTGTGCAGCAAGATTTCTCTCAATTCCTTTGACATTACTCAAATTTCAGCATGCCATCACTATTACAAAGTGCAAAGGGTTTATTGTGCAGCAAGACGCAAAAATTTCAGCATGCCATAACTATTACAGACGCTGTAGTGATCTTCACCCCGTGATCGGGCAACAGCCAGTCCATTGCCCTATCTTGCCATCTTCCTGCATGCTCGGGATGATCAGCTTTGCAAGGAGCTGATCGCCTGTGTCGCCTCGAAGCATATCATCTGATGCAGTCATTATTTCAGCCACGGTGGTTGAGAGTGATA